GATCCGAGTCATAACCGTGCATCTGACCATGTTTAGAAAAACATCGTACTTAGCATTTGCTTGAGGACAAGTAAAGTTTAAGTTTGGGGGAGTTTGATGACACACAAATATATGATATTTCTGGCTTGATATACACAAAATATTTCACATACTTTAGTTTAAATTAAATCATTTTATAGGTATTATGCAGGTATTTTTCTATTTTTGCAGATATACATTAAGCTAAACACTTTGGAAGAAATGAAGAAAAAAAAGGTGCAAAGATAGCAAAAAGGGCCAAAGGAGAAGAAATCAGCTTAAGCCCATCATAAAGCATGTGAGCACGTGGCCCACCATGAAAAAAGCCTTGACGATCGTCAAGGAGTGTTGCCGCTCGTCACGCGAAGTGATGGACCAAGTGACCATCGTCACTTGGACTTGACGAACGTCACAAGCCCACTTTCTCCCTCTTGACCATGTATCCAACGGAAGGAAACCAATTCAAAAGCAAATCCAACGATCGCCCTATTTATCCGATCCACTCAGTCAATGCATGAAGAACGTAACTAATTTAGTGGTCCTATTATTTCTCAATGGAACACAAAGTGTTCCTACATTACCGAGAACGAACTTATCACACAGGGGTTATAAATAGGACCTTGGACACAACGAAGAAGAGAGTTCTTTTTTTTGGAAGAACCTTTGGAGAATTCATTTTTACTCTAAGCAAATATTCTTTAAGCATTATTCATTTCCCAGCAATTTCTATATTTCCTCTAGCATTTATTTTATTGTACGGTTACATCTGTTCTCGACCGAAGCAAAGCCTACAGTTTGTGCAGGAGTGCTTCCATATCCAGAATTATTACCAGGTTTATGTTTACGAATTTTTATTACTTTTAATCAATATAATCATGTTTATTTTTGTATGTCTATGGAATTATTCTGTGATTTGGTCTGATATTATGTCAGGCTAGAATTCGTATACCGGTATGTAAGGTCACCTAACCAAGGGATCGAGTGACTTAGTTGGGATTATTTTTACTACAAAACCTTCTTTTCTGGTCTAAGTTACTATTTTTAATCATTAAATTGTTTTGTTACGAAAGTAAAGAACATATAGAGGTTAGGGTCAATAAAGCAGAAGCTTGAGATCTTTTAACTAGACATTAGTAATTAGGCATTAGCTTAAAATACAGCGGAAGCACTTTATAGTTAATTAATATTTTATTTAGTTTTCAAAAGGTGTTTTTAACTCCTGCGGGATGGCGGAAGCATACGTTAGGACTTAACTGCATAGCCTAGATCAACAAAACGATAGTGTGAGACGAGGGTTTTTAAACTAAATAAGTTTGACTGAAAGCTGTTTTGAAAATATAAAGACACCCAACCGGTCGCTAGTTCCCGAGGTTTGACTATTGCATACTGGTAGTTCTGCTCATTGATTATTAAAAATCCAACTTAATTTAGTATTTAGTTTTCCCTACAACCCAATTAAACATTCATTAGCTTTAGATTTGCAAAGTAATAATAGAAGACAGTAGTTCGATTCATCAGTCTCTGTGGTTCGATATCTTTTAAAACTACACGACAAGACTGTGCACTTGCAGTCCGAATCATTGGATACCTAAGTATAATTCCGATCACCAGGTTGCCTTTCAATCCAAAGAAGGAAACCTTCGAAGGTCCATGGTGAGGCATACGTCTAAAGCTTTCAGATCTGGATTAGATGGGGATCCATTGGTTATGATCATGCAGTGTATGGTATATGCGTGGAACCTGCAAGCATTGGATCTGCAAGACAATTGTAAGAGAAACAAAAATGCATGACCTGGGTATCGAACCCAAGTCTCTTCCCTTTGATTTGAACCCCTAGTTCGAACTCCCTGAGTCTGAATCTGGGTTATTTTGGCTTGAAATGGCCTATATCATGAGTTTCGAAAGCAATCAGCTTTGAAGGCCCTAACAAGGACATCCTGTCATTTAGACACTGCAACTTACATGTATTATGTTAAATAATTCACAAACAACAATAATAACATGAATATGCCATAAAAATGAATTTAAATTAGAGATCGAATGAGTTTGAAATTAGAATTTTTTTTACCAAACGGAGGTGTTTCGATCTGTAGTTCTGAGCGTGGGATGGCTTCCTGGAAGTCTCAGGAGAACAAATCTGATATTCGTTTGGACTGAGGGAGCTTGCAAAGCTGGTTTTTGTATTTTTGACAGCTTATGAGATTTTTGAGAGTTTTGAGATGGTTCTCTTAGGAAGTGTGTGCGTGCGGCTCTTTGAGGCATTTTCTTGTGTCCCTTTGAGGTGGTTTCTCCGTCCCCTTTTGCTTATGATTTAGTCTTGTACTTAAAGGGGTGAGGTGATGAAAAAATATGGCATGAATCAGCCATTAATCATGGCTTTGAAAGCATAATCGAAATATTTGAAAAGTTTCCATTTTGATAATTTTCTTGCCATTCTTGAAGCATAATGAACCTAAACATGTTATGGTTGGTGTTTTGACTTGCATCTCCATTTCACATAAATTGGTTCTTTCGACCAGGTCACAAGCATTGTTCTTTCTGATGGCTCTGAGTTCCAATTCGAATTTCTTAAGGCTTCATCATCGTGGCTTCTTCGATTAAGTCACCATCTGCTTCGATTGTGTAATCTGGGAACATCAGCTTAACCGAACAGTTCTTGTTCTTTTCACTCTTCTTTCCTTAAATTCAAACAATCAAAGTATCACCTATTCATCTTGACTTGTCGAAGCTTTCGTTTTTTTCTTCTCCTTCGAACATAGTTGCGCAGGTGGTTCTTCGATTTGACCAGTCGAAGCTTCATTCTGGTCATCTCCTTCGAACACAATTGTGCAGGTGGTTCTTCGATTCGACCAGTCGAAGCTTAGTTCTGTTCTTTCTTCTTTTCGAAGCGCCAATCCAATCAACATGCCAATAGAAATGTCTTCCCTTGCAATGCTTCGAATAACTTATTTTTTCTAATAGTTCGAAAACGAACCCTTCAAATCTTTTTACTAGCGCTTCATCAATCGAAGACTTCGTAAAGGCCTCCTCACCCTTTCTTTTGAACTACTCTTTCTTTGATCATGTGTCATTTATTTAAAACTTTTGTAATCGAAATTCCCAGCTAACACTACTTTGTTGGGCATCTAATCAGTGTATATTGCTGTCGAAGCTGCTTCGACCCAAATCTCTTAGGAAATTTTTAGCTTTTAACTTGCATCTCGTCAAGTTCAGTACACTTATATTATTTCTTTCAGTTATGACATTATGCTGAGGCGTATAGGGTGTCGTGGAAATTACTTGAGGCTTTTGCAAACCAAAATTCTTTGTGAGAAATGAAACCCTAGATGGAAATCCATTGCTTAGGAGGAGAATTTGTCTGGTCCATTATTGGTCAACCTTTACCAATTGAGGAGCTTAATGAGCATACCTTTAATAGAAAGGGAGGACAAATTTTGGGGTACACCAACTTCCCCTGTTCAATCTTCTAAAACCTGAAGATTTAGATTTGCTTGTCTGCATTTCATGATCTGAAGGTGGAAGATGATTGAACACTAGAGTGCCCAGAAATTTGCACTCGCATGAAGTAACGTCGTTGGTTGATGATATCAGGAATGGGCTTACAAATGCCTTTTGGGGAAGATGAATGGGAGCTGTTGGATATGGGCTTAAAGATGCCATCTAAATTAGATGTTTACTTCATAATAGGTCTCTTTGTGGGGATTCTTGTTCCTATTGTTTGAGGAGGACTCCGTTGGGTAATGTTGATTTCTGTTCCTTTGCTTGAGAGAAACTCTATGGGGAATAGAGTCTAGGAGCTTTAGTTGTCCATGACTCTGCTGAGGAGTTATCTCTGGACTGGAGAGATGAAAGTTATCTATTTATTCGGTCGAAATCCAGGTTTCACAGTAACTTTCTAAGGATAATTACATTGACTTTTATCTGGTCATATTCCACGCTTCACAGTAACTTGTTGGGGAATATGAGATTAACTGTTATATGGTCGATCTCCAGGATTTGGAGTAATTGAAGAGCTTGAACTATTATCTGGTCGGGTCCAGGCTTCAAAAATTAAGTTGTTGTCTGGTTGGGTCCAGGCTTCAACTTGAACTTAAGGTATATTGTCATTTGGTCAGGTCCAGGATTCAACTTGAACTTGAGGTATACTGTCATCTGGTCAGGTCTAGGCTTTGCAGTGTTGTAAACTTCTATCTAGAGATATATGAGAAGGAACATGTGTAGGCCTGCTTCGGGATGAGAAGGAATCTGTGTAAGATTGCTTCAGGATGAGCCCGTGTAAAGCTGCATTTGGAAATTGTGAGAAGGAATCCGTGTACGATTACTTAAGGATGAGCCTGTATAAAGCTGCATTTGGAAATATTTAGAAGGAGCCTGTGTAGGGTTGTTTCATCTGATCATGTAGATAGTCGCCCTGTGTAGATAGACGTAAACAGAATAACAATGTAAAGACTGAATAATCAAAAAGAAAATTAAATAGATAACGATTAAATAACTAAGTAATAAATAACCAAAAACAATATTCAAATAACATACTAAATTGTATTAACATGTATTTTTTTATATTTTTATGATGGCAAGAAATAATTATATATATAAAAATCTAAACTAAAATTTTTGTATTAGTAAAATAAGACTAAAAATGGTGAAATAAAGCTAAAACGCAGGAATCAAGGATTGAACTCGGATCTTTTTACTAACAACTAAACTATCTTGCCACTGGGCTAATGCTACTTATTTGTCATATGTACATTTTAACTAAACTAAAAACGGTAAAGGTTGAAACAAAATTGGGCTAAAAGGCCCATGGGTTGACCAGAGTTTGGAGAGATAAAGGAAGGGTTTAAAAAAAAAATCTAATTTGAAGAGGGAGGCACCGCATTGCTGTTTTCATTGGGAAGGGAAAGAAAACCAATTATTATTAATTCCCAAAAAAACTATATTTTCCATGTTACCGTAAAAAACATAAATTAACTGTATCTCTCTCAATCCAATATCTTTATCCTTCTCTTTTTAGTCACTTTTGATGCATGGCGGCCGCTTCCTCTTGCCTTCTCACGTTTGCTAATTTTGGGAGCATCATCATCTCCTCTCTGTTCATCATTGTCAGCGTCTTCAGCGGCAGCGTCTTCATCGGGATCCACCAGATTATCTCCGGTAACTTCATCATTGTCGGAACTAGTCACACGAGCTACAGCTTCCAGCTCTTCTTCGTATTCTTCTTTGTTAATCTGTGGATTCACTTGCTCTTCCTCCGATGAGCTCGACGAGTTGGAGAATTCTTCATCGGAAGAAGCTTGTTGGTTCGAAGCTTTCGCCATTGAATCTCGAATTCGAGGGTTTGTGTTGTGAGCGGAAGAGAATGAAAGAAGGGTTGATGGAACAAAAGAGGTTTACAGTGGGAGTGTATTCGATATTTTTGAAGGAGTGTGGATGAATAGGTTCCAGAAATTGAAGTTGATGGTGTTGCGGGTCTGGTATGAGACGAATGAAGATGAAAGAGGAGAATGAATCGGGATTTCTCTATGCGTTTTCGGTTCACATTTCAAACCGTAGATTTCTTGCTTACAGAAACAACAACAACACAGCAACAACAACGAATATTTTTGTCACAATTGTGGAATTCAACAATAACAACTCTAAAGAACAAAAATCAACACAAAGCAAGATTCAAATACAGGGAAAGCGAATTTACCGAGTCGGAGCTCCTTCGACGGGCCTTCAAATTCTCAGGTACAATTTCGACACTATCTTTACTTTCTGAAAATCGATTCCACTCGCTTGTTGTATGTTGTGGATGAACGCGTTTGATCGATGGGCCTGAGTTTTTGCTCTGTTGTTGTAGGTGATGCTTTGATTGGTTTTGTATAGCTGTGTGTGTTGCAGATTGTGGAAAGTATCGGTTCTGTTTGAGATTGTAGGTTGTGTTATGTTGGAGATTGAAGGGTTTTTGAAGGTGAGTGGATTTGCATAGGGATTCAGAAGGTGTTGAAATGAAGGTTTAAAGGAGTGTTATGGTGATGATTTTTACGGTTTCGTAGATGGATTTGAGGATGTAGGAAAGTTCTGCAAAACATTGACTGAGTTTCACTTTTTTTTGTAGAACTTCTTATGTATTGGAGTTTTCTGAGGATTTATTTGATATCCCTTTTTTCTATTGTAGGAAGCCTTCTTATAAGCATGTTGGAATGACTTTGGAGGGAAAGTTTTTGGTAACTTTAAACAAAAGTAGTATGCTCTGTTCTAGATTTCCTGATGGAGATTTTGTATAACTAATTTTGTGTAACTCTTGGCTTGATACGGTGCAGGTTTGGACAGGATTTGGGGCAGCGTAAAGGTTGTTTTTAGACTGGTGTATAGCTGATTCTTATCTGTCTTTTGCAGGGCTGATATACAGAGTGGACAACAACATTTTGGACAAATTTGTGTGTTGTAGCATGGCTAGAAATTCGGCATATGGTGCAAATTTGGCATAAAGTGGACTGCAAGTTTTAAAGCATGAAGCTTTAGGAGATTAGGATTAGATTTTTGATGTACACACTTGTAATTCCTCTTGTAAATTTGTAATAATAATGAATGTAAATTTATAATGAGCTTCAAGTCGAATCTTTCCTCCTTGGTTTCGATCTCTTGTAATTTGAAAACTTGAATGAATCTTGAGTTTTGTGAATGATATTTGGAATGATCTCATTTGAAAACTTTGGTTGATGAATTTTGCAAGTTAATATAATAAAGTCATATGGAATGAGTTCTTGAATTATGATGTGACTTGTTGGAAATCTTGAATGTCTTTGATAGAATTTTGGACGTGAATTCACTTAGAATAACATTTGAATGGAATACAAATTTATTCTAAGACTTCAAGAATTATCCATAAGGAATTTTGTAAATTTCCTTGAATGTTATTGAGTGAACTTTTCACTTAACTTCCAAGCAAAATCAAATACGTGAACACCCCATCTTTAGAAATCTTGATCCAATTAACTTGAAGATATAATCTAAGAATTCAAATTAGTTCTCATTTCTCAAAGACACCCTAATTCAATCCATAAAATCGAGTTACTCGTAAAAAAAAATGAATGTCTTGATTACCACTTCACTTTTTGTTCCATGACTTGATAATCAAAATCAAAATATTGCCTTGAAGAAACTTTTGAGAAATGAATGTGGACATACGTATAACTAAAATAGCTTTATCATGAAAAACCAATGAGTCTCGGTTGATGAGTATCTCAAACTTCATGGAGGAAGAAAAATCCAATTCTCTTGACAGACAATAGGGAAATAACCCTACCCAAAGCTCTTGGTGAATTTGAATTGGAATGGAAACAATGTTGTGAATACCAATATTCCACCCCTCATCTTTTATACCATAACTCAACACTTTCTCCCCCTCAATACTGAGAATATTCTCGACTGGATGTGCTGTCAGTGTAAATGCATTGAATAAATATTGGAGATGAATGATACAACTTGAAGTAAAGAAGTAAACGCGTCCATAGAAAATCCTAATTGAGGCGCAACGCCCGATGCCCTTGATTCAGACCTGTCTCTGCACATGACACCAAAGAAACAAAAACATCACCTTTGTATTTGATTAGAAGTTAGTGACGCATAAGATAAAATGTTCACGATACTTGATAATTTATGCATAGGCAATGCTTGAAGATGAGAGAGTTAAAACCGACCATGTTTCGTGACCTTGATCTTATATGAAAAATGCAAATGAAGATGGGATCTTAGGTCAAAATTTGGGGTATGACACTTGTGTGTTCTTTCTTGTGTGTGTTCACATGCTCCTATAGGATCTTTAGTTCATTCTTGGTCAAGATTGAACTAAGTAGACCTTAGGAGTGATATCCATGTATGCCAATATTAGGTAGAATTCCCTTGATCTCAACTTCAGGTCCACAAGCATGACAACAAATAGGATTGAGATTCCCCGTTTGTTAGATTTTTCTTTTGGCATCCATTTTAAGTCTAAAACTCTTTTTCTTTGGCAAATTCATAAAACACTTTAACATTACTCAAATCCTTTTTCGAGGTAAAAAATACCAACCAATACAAACCTTTTTGTCTTCAGACTTTTTCTTTTAAAACCTTTTCAAAAAGGACATGCTTCGCTAGCATTTTTAATAAAGAACATACAACACACTAAAAGTTTTGAGGTGAACAATGAGTTCATTGATCCCTTTTGCACAGTAGGTGGGACATAGGCACAAAGGTTCACAACCGAGTCCTTTGCATTCATTCATTTCCTGCACAACTTAGCTTTTAGATTTTAGACACACCCATTAGATTAGACAACAAGAGTGGATCTCGTGGAGTACCATGGACATGAGGTATGATAATAACTTTCCCTCGCATAATCGACTCCCTTACCCGCTCTCTTGGTCGTAAGACCTTGATTTTACCCTCTTCAGATTTTCTTCGATATTTTCCTTTCTCTTCGGCGGATAAATAAGTATCCGATGACGACTTTATTATTTATTTGAGAGATTTATTTTCTCGAGTTGCTTCAACTACTAAACTCCTCCTTCTAATTATCTTTTTACACTAAAAACCTAATCCACTCATTAGACTATTCCTACTTTACACTTACTTTTCTATCTAATCCCCACCTAAAAATAGAAAATTTATGTTGGAAAAAGTAATAGAAAAATTAATGGTCAACTTTTAATTAAAATAATACACAGTTTTCAAAAAAATTATACATTTAACTTTTAACATGTGCCCTCAGGGCACACTTTAACATTACCCTAAAATAATTTCAAATTATTCTATCTATCTCTAATTACTCTCCACACACTACTATAAGGTCACACACTCTCCCTCTCACCCGCATTTATTTAATCACCCACATATAAAAATTAAATAAATACACAAAATTATAATTAAATGAAAATAAAATAATTTACTAAAACTGGGGTGCGATTTATTAACCTTATTGAATTATCATGAATTTAATCATGTCTTGATAGAACATCTATGTAAAGAGTTTTTAAATCTCTTTGTTTAAAGCGGTTTTGGTTGTCTTGTGATTGACTTGCATTAGAAGAAATCAAGTACTTAGTAACATCGTGTACTGTTTCATTTATTTTATTTTATTGAGATGCTTCCAAGCTCTCTTGTTTTTATGTTTTGCTTTGCACTTCTTAAAGTATCTGATTTCGTATATGGGACCTAAAATGTTTTTAAAATTATTTTAAATGGAAATGGTATATTCAAACCACGTCCCCTTATATACCTTTTTTATCCACATTCTCATGTAATAATTGGTATCAGATCAGGGTTTTTGATCAAAGTCTTGTGACTCCAAAAGTTAAGGATACAGTTCCTTCGATCCTAGATGAGTTTTTCTAATAGTTTGGAATCTTATTCCTATGAATTCTAATGAAACTAAATTGAATTATTAATGTCTAATTATTCGTTGCATAAATTACATATATTAACCTATAGTAAAACCTTATTAGTATATTCTTCAAACATTAATTATTTTCAAGATATTCTCTAAGTTTTTGTTCATCTAGGATTAAACCGACCACTTTCTTAAGGTATGTGCAGTGTGAAATTGACACCATTTCTTAAAGGTTGCTATGGATTAAGCCTAATTGAAGATGGATCTACATTCACACAATAACATTCTGAAAGTTTTGTAAGATGAAATAAGGAAAAAAATCCTCTAAGTGACCTATTCTTCCAAGGTAATCGTAAAAACAAGATGAAGGCAATTATGTGGCTATTGGCATTGATTCTCTAAAGTTTCAATAATTACAAAAGATTCAAGGATAAAGTATGCTTATTGAAGTGTTATCGATCGTCAAAGAGTTTAATCAGTTATTCGTGATTGACAATTTGTTTCATTTAATGATAATCAAACCATCATCATTCAAGGTTCACCTGAAGCCTTATGAATGAGTGTCTGATAGTATTCTTGAGACATGCAAAATGAGTTGTATCTAAGTAGTATAAGATTGTGTATATTTCAAAGCTTATGATATTCTTGGTGCTGATTGCTAATCATTCTCGTATGTAGAAAGTTAATACTAGACCTTCTAAATTGGTATGATCGTTCCAAACCTATTTTATTTATTTTTTAGTATACATGGTTGTATTTATTCAACTGACTAATGTGTTATATGTGTGAAACATGTATGAGTACGTGATGTGTTTTTGCATTTCATGCTCAAATATTTCAATCATTTGATACATCAGTTTAATTCTTTTATTTCTTCACTTCACTGCATTCATATGCATTATACACGCATTCATGCATCGTCGTTTAATGTATGGTGCATTAAAAATAATTTAGCATGCACATCAAATGTATTTTTTACATTAAAAAATCATTTTTAATATTTGCATTAAAATGGTTCATTATTTTTAATCATAACCACATTCATGCATGACATTATACTATAATTTTACATTTACATTAAAGATATTTTTCATTAAAATTAATTGAATTTGAAAAGCTCATTTTATCAACATTATTTTCCAAAATTAGACTGCTTGATTCAAATCAAGCCTTTTTGGCCTTTGAACCTAGTTTTAATCAAAATCCGGGGACTTAAAACATTTTAGAGAGGCTCGATTTGATTAAAATTAGACATTACACTTGTTTCAAATCAAAGTGCTCTTTCTTAAAAAATAAAACTCGTGATTTGATTTAATTTTTACACTAGATTCGAATCACAAACTCACGTCAACTTTTTTTAATTTCATTCAATTTTTCTATTTCTCTTTTCATTTCTATTTCAAACCACCAAAAACCTTTTTGAGCGAAATTTATCATCATCTTACATCATCATCATCATCCAACATTTATTCCATCATTCATCTTCATCAT